TTTGAATGTGCATTAAAATAAAGCTAATAGGCAGGTGTAATATTCTTTCCACTGCTGTTTATATTAAGAATACATCTTTTAAGTTTGAGAGCTGAGAATATCTGGTGTAGGTTTCATAATCAGTTTCCATTAAACATGAAGTCACAGCTCCAGCTGCTCAGCAGATCACAGCTGTTGCATTCTTCTCCTTTTTATGATGTGCCATGCAGAGAAAGGTGTGTACTGCAGAGAGTCAAGTACAGCAAACACTCTCAGCGCCGATGAAGCTTTGCTTTCAAAATAACAACAGGCTGCCCTGGAAAAGACGTCTCCTTGATTGTAGCTGATTTATCTCCATAATTCTGCAGCAATTAAACCTTTTAACCCAATCAATCATGCCTTGGGCAATGATACACCCCCTACGCCATCACAGTTGTTTCTGCTGATAACAACCTGGAGGGTCTTTCTAATGTTTGGCACTGTGAATCCAACATCTGTTTCTTCCAAAAGCAGCTAAACTACAGATCAATCAAACAAAGAAAGTGCTTATATTACTTTTGTCTGTCTGAACGGAGCCCACATCCTGAGAGATCAGCAAGACTTCTGTACATATGGCGTTGTCCATTCACGGTCCAGTTTCAGTTACACTTTGCATGCAGTGGCAGAGGAGTTGAGAATCTGTTTATGAAAAAAAAGCTACTTTTCTTCTATTGACACTTTTATTTTACAAAATAGGTTTACAATGATGCTGTGTAATATCTCTCTTTTTCTTCTGCTTTCTAATTCAATTTCAGTTCAGTTGAGGTTAGAAGCAGTTGCCACCTTAAGGCACTTATCAACAAAGCCCTAGAAATGTTGTTCAAACATATCCACCTAAACAAAAACATACACCACAATTTGAAGAAATTTCCTCCCCCGAACATGTTTCACGATGTGTACGGTGCTCTTTTTGCTGATGCATAGTACTTTTTCAATGCCTTTTTAAACTATGGCCATAGAAATTTAAAGATTAGCTGAAAACTAAATCTGCCTGGGGTATGGATAATTTTGAGAATAACAGAGCTTTTTGTAACCTTTTCCTTTCCGAAAGTATGTGCAATTAAACTAACAAATGAAAAAAAATCCCTCGAGCTTGATCAAATTCCCTCCAATTAATGGCAACAGGAAGCTGCAGAAGATTGAACTTTGAAATAAGATGAACTTTAAACTTTGGTTTGACAAAGTTTAAAGTATTTCTGTGCATGCTTATTATGTAACTGGGGTTATTGCAGCTTCTCGTCTTCTATTCCCTCTCTTAAAGATGAATTCATTGTTTTTGCTGAAATTATATTAAAAAAATCCCATTGAATGGGGAAATAATTTGCAAATAATTTATCATGGTGTTGTTTGAAATCACACATTTTGACAAGTTTTCTCAAAAGTTTTAACAAGAATGTCTAAACTTATGAGAGTGGCTCTATATTTATTTGAGACTATTTCATATGAAAATAGTAATAGTAATGAATCTGCAAAGCTGCAGAAGTCACTTCTTCCTGCTACAGCTCACACCTCTATGTGTATGTGTAAAGATGCATATGGGTGAGAAGGACTTAGACTTCCAAATGCTTTAGGTATTAAAGCATTAAAGCTGGGTGTGAAACTAAAAATAGCCTAGGAACCAATTTGCTGAGGACAGCGTGATTTTCTACACGTGACAGGCAACCGGCAACACGCCGCTGTCCCTGGTGCTGAAACTGCATCCGGTAGAGGTTTTCGTCTTTATTGATAATAAATCAGAGACGTCTAATTTTGAATCATATCTGTGTTGGAGCTGCAATAGAACTGGGTTAACAGTTTAAAGCATAATTTTAACACAACGCTGTACAACTGTTAAAACTGTAATTCCTCCAAAGCAACAGTGCGAGGCGCATGCCGAGGCTAATTCCGTTTCCAGAATGAGAGAGAGAAAGAGAGTTTGATTGATCATGTGGGCTATGGAAGCCTGGGAGAATTGTGAAAAATTGCTGCATAGACGCCCCTTTGGCACCTATTTTAGTGGCCAGTGACTCCAAGCCCTTCCGAGGCCAAGCAGCCAATCTGCACCGGAACACCGGGTATACCTGTTAACACACTCCCCCCATTCTTCCGGGTTCTGGACCTCAGAAAGGCAACATGAACTTACCGCAGTTCTCACACAAGATCCTCCCAACATCCTTCTTCAGGTTCTTCCCACTAGTGTCAACGGGCGCGAACGATGCCTTGAAAACCAAGGGCTCGTCCGTGGGGTCCATGAAAAAGATGTACTTGTGATTCTTTTTCACTTTGGCGCACGGAGCCTCGGATCCGAACTCCCCCACGGTGACGAGCTGCTCCCGCTCCAGACCGCCGCTGTTCAGGGGCCAGACCTCCAGCACTTTGACACTCACACGGTACGGCTCCACGGACGCGTTCCCCGCAGGCGTGGACTGCACCTTGCCCTCGATCACCACGGCGGACCTGTAAGCTTGGTCCTGCAGGGAATTCAGACTCGGGGAGTAGCAGGCGAATGAGACCCCGATGAGCAGCATGGATAGATGCACCGGATCAAGCCTCATGCCGCCTGCTTTGGCTCGGTGGGGGCTGGTCGCGTTGCGGCAGGGCACTCTGGGCTGCGGGGCGATGGCGGTGGACCTGGGTTGAAGGAGGAGAAAGCGAGTAGGCTCCAGCAGTAGCACGGCAGCGCGGCGGACCTTGCATAAGTGTCCATGCCATCGGGATCCGCTGCTTTTTCCCCAAATGCTTTTCAGCGGGTAAACAGCAGCTTTTGCAGCAGGGATGACGCTGGCTTTTAAATCCAGTCACTGCTTCCTGCTAATGATAAGGCATTGTAAATGTTTCTTCTTTGTTTTGTTTTTTTAAGGAAGGAATTGTGGACCCCCTCCCTTCTTGGTTATTCTGCCATAAGACGACGCCACTCTTTATCTGTGCCCCCAAAAATTGCAGTGGGAAGGTGCCGCTGTTATGGTTCTCCGTATCATCTGCAACGGAGGGAAGAGACGCAAAATGCTGCAGTGAAGCACAAGTTGGGGGAGCCTGATCGCAAAACAAAAGGACCCGTTTCATTCCACGAAAACAAAATGGAACAATGATAAAAAATAATAACAATAAAAAAATAAAAGGAATTATTTCTGCACGCCAGCTACAGCGTTAATACGCCGCCTTCCACCGCGGCTCTCTCTCCGCCTCCCCTACCAGCCGCTGACGGAGAGAAAATAAGACCGATCGCCAAGGGGCTCCAGAAAAAAAAAAAAAAAAAAAAAAAGGGATCCAAAAAACCGAGGACCAAAAGGGTCTATCTCCCCCCCTTTTAATACTGCATGTCAGTCACTCCATGGTGTTTCTTCGGCGAGGATCTCTTGCTGTAATAAAACAAATGCAAATCCTAAATCCATGGCTCCCCCTCCTTACAAGCGCATCCTACTGTAGCCAAGGCATTTCGCCCCCTCCAAAAAAAAAAGAAAAGAAAAAAAAAAGAAAAAAATCACATAGATTAACAACAGGGGGTGGAGGGAAGAAAAATGAAGCCGCATATGTAAGTCCTGGAACTATGGCGATGACTAACACTGCGAAAGCGTTTCGGAGTCTTCAGGAGACTGTTCTGAATGAGTTTTGCGTCTCATCCCATTAAGTCATGACCAGCATTCAGGTCACATTCGCCGCTCTGCCTCGGAAAAAACGGAAAAAAACTGAAGTTGACGAACTCACATTTAATCTACACATCTAATTCAGCTGCACTACAAAAGTCCACAACTAAAAAAAAAAAAAAAAAAAAAAACAGTTTTAGAAATAACAACAAATACATTAAAGTTTCTCCTCTTTCTTTTTTTTATATGTTTTCAGCGCAGTTTTAGGTTTGCACTTTTGTGCAGCGCTTTAAACCTCCAATCAAAATCAAATATAATCCTTTGTTTAAGGTTTGTTTGATAAATGTTATTGGAAAAAAAATAACCCAGGGAAGGAAGATGAAGGTTTAGTTTGTGTGCCAAATACACTGCGGATACAGGACGCTGAAGTCAGTATTCACAAAGAGCGACATCTGCCGACCACAGTGGTCATTCAAAAAAAAAAAAAAGAGCATCCACACATGGAGGACGCAGCTACGTTACTGTCACTATGCAGCTTCTCTGTAAATTTGGAGTAGTCGAAAAGTTAGATGCACTATATTCAAAGTGTTATATTTTAAATGTTTATTTCTGATTATGTTATGATTAAGAGCTACAACTAAGGAAAACTCAAATTTCTCAGAAATGTAAGCCATCTTAAGTTAGGGTTGAAACATTTACTGTTGTCAAGCATACAGTCCACATGAAGGATGAGTCACAAAGGTCCATGACTGAATAAGCTTCCAGTACTTGGCTTCCAGATGGTACACTTACTTAGTGGAAAGTTTTGTGGAAGGTAAAAGTGTGATAGAAAAGATGCATGAGCAATAGATAATACTGTAACCATGACAGAATTGTGAAGTAAATGTCATTCTTACTGGAATTACATGGCATGGACAGTCGGTCCAGGACATGGACTACAGCTGTTCCAGAATTAAAGTAAGAAGCTTCTGATCTGGGCGATGGGGAAATAGGACTGCAGTGCTGCTAAATGATTCAAAGTCTATTTTTCAGTTGAAAGTCAGTCTTGCATTGTAATTAAAAAAAAAAAAGCTTCATGTTAGGATCTGTGTTTTCTGTGTAGTTTTTCTGTTAGTCCAGTTTCCCCTGTGAATCTATCTTCCCTGTTGATTGCTCCCAGCTGTATCCCGTTCCCTGATTACCTTCCCTGTGTATTTAACCCCACCTGTTGTCTTTGTGTCGGATCCTCGTCGTGTCTCACGTCTGTGTCTGTTCCTGTGCTGCCAGTGATTTTCTGTTGTCCCTCCTGGTTTATCATTAAATTATCTCTTATCATGACTACCTGGGATTCCCGGCGTCTCTCTCACCGCTCTCCTCAACCACACATCATGACACTTCAGAGACTAAGGCAGGGGTCTTCCGTTCAGTTTAGATGTGTCTCTGATTCAAAAGAAAGGAAAAGTATCAACAGAATGAATGGCAAGAATTATAAACAAAATTGAATCAAAAGTTGCTTCAAACGTAGCTGCAGTATGTAACCTTTATAACAATATGTCTATTACATATTTTTGAAAACATGAGACAGATCTGTGAAGAGATCAAGCTCTTCCACTTCCTCTTATTGCCATCAGCAGAAATGCGCTGCTCCCGGTCAAAAACAACCAATCACAGCCAGGAGGAGGGTCTTAGTTCAATATGCTAAAGGCAGAGAAACAGCTTAAAGTTCCAGGAAAACTGTTTATCCGCCATCATCGGTGGCCATGCAAGCTAGCCTGGACATTCGTGGCAGAGTCTGTTGTGGGGAACTAGCTGTAGGAAAGCAGAGAACAATGGGGAGGGTGTGAGCAGCAGTTACACAAGAGTAATTGACAGCACTAAGACCGTCCTCCTGCCTCTGACTGGTTGTTTCTGAAGGCAGAGGAGAATGATTTTTTTCACAGATTATCTGTCTCATATCATACTGTCATGACATGGTGGTAATTTTAACAAATATGTAAAAAAAAAAAAAGGCAACAAATTTTTAGGAAAAGACACATACTGCAGTTTTCAGATATGCTCACTGATGTGTACAGAGTATTGCATCTTTTATAATGATCTATAGTTTTCCTTCAAAGAAATGTTAGTTTTTCTACTTAACTATAAAATAAATTATTGAACACCTCAATTTTTTTCCATATTTTACATGCTTTTGGGGCCATTTGATCATACACTACCAAGGAAATCAAACATAGAAGGTAATCAAAATAAATTATTCAACAAGTGAAGGTGAAGATTAAAAAAAAAAAAAAAAACTGGATTGACACATACATAAAATTTAATTATATGCTTTATGTAAAAATATTTTCTGGCATTAAAAATGTCAGGTTGTCTTTTTTATGGAGAAACTACTTGTATGCATTGCTCTGCTGTGATGTTGACTCATTCTTCAGCACAAATTATTCTCTCTGATCCTCGGTTCTTTACATACATTTTCAAATTGACTTGGTCCTTTTTACAGTTTTGCTTTCTGTCAAACCAAGTAAGAGTTTCACTGGCTGCGTGTCTGGGACTACCGCTCAGAAATCCACACCTTGTTTCATCTTCAAATCTTCATAAAAAATGCCCCTGTTCATTTCTCCAATCATCCTTCCTTCGATTATATGAAGTCTGCCAGCACCATATGTGGTGGGCCAGCCCACGCCATGATGTTCCCAGCAGCAAACATGATGTGTGCAATGAAAACCAAAGAGTTTAACTTTGGCCACAGGTAATTAGATTACATTTTCCCAGTATTTCACTGGCTTGTTAAACTCTTCTGCAGCTTTTCCAGCCAACCTGAAGGGGATTATTTGTTATATCGTTTAGATAAATGTAGCAAATATATGAAGGTGAAGAAAAAATGCTCTTGGAAAAAAAGGAACTGAGTGCAAAGGTGTTGAGGAGAAACATTCAACATTTTGAAAGAAATTAATAAAAAACTGAACCAAAGTGCAAGCGAGCAATACTTACAAAAATATAAGTATCATAACTAAAAAATCCCTGTTTAAGTTTTGTTTGATTGATTGATTTGCCATGATGCTCAAATCAATCAATCAGTCAATCAGAAGCAGATTCGAAAACATGAGCCATGTTGCTGGGCCATCGAGAAAAAAAATGTATTACTGTTTTCTACCACACTCTATCAAGTTAAATTTAAGCTCAAGGAGACACAAGATTGTAAACTAAGTAGAATTTTATAAGATAATGCCTCCCAGCTCCAGCTGTTGCACATTTCCAAACATGTGATCACTTCATTGAACTGAAGACAGGCTTCCAGAGCTTTGCACACTGATAAGTAATGTATGTTTGATAATTAAAGATTTATGAAAACTATTTCAACAATTTCTAAATCAGTATCAAAATCTGATTATGAATATATGATATACTTTGACACAGACCACAGGTAGCCAAGACTTACTTGGAGCATAACTCTTAAAGCTCATTAGCACACAAATTAAAGACTATATGAGGGATATGATGTTGTTATGGCTAATTCCCATGCTGAGGATATTTTATAAGACTTTAGAGGAAGTTGCTTTTTGTAGACAGATATCAGTTCATATCTGAGTTGTAACTACATCTCTAATTTACTCGTTTGGGCTTCGAGTGGCAAATAGTATTTTATTACCGATCCAACAGAGTTTAGTTGGTTCTGCTTACAAGCAGCTATAAATTGGCTGTTTTTGATTGAGATTTTTATTTTCAAACAGTTACAGTATGCCAAAAAGTTTGCGGCAGATTCAATCAGCAGGAAGGATGGATTGTGCACCATAAATTATTGTTGTGGACATAGATACCAAATTAAGGACATGTAACACTAGTAGATGTATAATGGCATTATTTCTAAATTAAAACAAATTTCAAAGTCAAACTTAAATCATTTAAAATTATTTATAGCTAAATCTGAAAGGCCCTCGCTGGTTTGGGGGTCATTAGCAACAAGTTAGTTTGCTTATGGTTTAAGCATACAAAATCAAGTCATTTACCTTAATAACCTGTATGAAAGTTTATCACTGTTACTTCAACTTCCGTGTCTCTGGAGACTGCCCTCTGGGCTTCAGGCTCAGCTGCTCTCCGTGGTGCTGAAATTGCAAAATTTTAAATCAGAGCCCATAAACCGGAACTTAACAGAGAAAAATACCAAAAGTATTTGGAAGCAGTTGCTAAATGTAGCCACAGTTCAAGCTTTGTGAATGTCTCCCACACTCTTAAATGAGCTTTGCTTCTCAGTCCTCTCTTTGTGTTGCCTTTTCCATCAACCTGTTTTGTTTTAGCTTTGGTAAAACAAGCTGCTTTAGTGATGATATTTTGTGACCTGTTCTTGTGAACATTAATGACCGTCTGCTGGACAACTGTCAAAACAGCACTGCTCCATATCTTGTTTAGGCTATAACATCCCAATAACATGATATTTCTACATGGAAAGTCAATTTTATCGATATTAAATTCAAATTCAAAAATACATTATTGATCTCAAAGCAAAATTGAGATCAATAATGATCTCAGTTGTGGCTCAGTGTTGACTTTTCATTAATTTTGAGCCATAATTATCAAATTTAGATGACATAAATACTTGAAATATCACCATTTGTGAACTGGATGTAATGATGAGTTTCATTATTTTTTATGAATTACTAAAATAAGCTAACTTTCTCATGATAGTCTGAATTATTGACATGAACTGGTCAATTCCAAACTTATCTTCCTCCACAGACCCTTAGATCAGCTGACCAGCTGCTTTTAGTTGCTCCCTCACTGCCCCCCGACCGAACCACAAAAACAAAAGTCATGAAAGTGGGACATTAAGCGATTTTTTTGT